TGATAGCTTTAGTTTTAATTAATTTTACTTACCTCTAGCTTCAGGGCAAACTAAAGACAAAGAAAAAATGTCTTTTCATCAAAATCATGAGGATGTGAATGTGTTCATTCAAAGATCAGTTGTGGGGTGGGGGGTGCTGTTTTCTGCTTAATCAGAAAAAAGGAAAGTGTCTTAATAGCCCCTGTTTCTAGGAGTGTTTGCATTTCCGTCAGTTTGGGCTATTATTCAGTATCCATTCACAGATAGCAGTTGATCTACATATGAACAGCTCTCTACTTGGTTTTCTCTGCTAATCAAGTTTTCTTTCCTAATGGCTTACCTTCCAGCCCCACCTTTGCATCTTGCTTTCTCTCTCACTATCCTGTTTAATTACCACTCTCTATAATTATCTAATTTATTTACTTGCATTTTTATTGCTTGTCACCTCCCACAGGTGACAAGCTCCTTGCTGCTTTCCTCACAGAGCCTTCGAGTCTAAATTTTAGAGTCTAAGTGCTCAAGTCGTACCTTTCTTTTAAAAAAATTCCATTTTAAGTGAATTCTTCACAATTTTTTAATCTATTCACCCTCCTGCCCTTCCATTGGAAGTGACTTTCCTTCCTCTGAATGAGCACACATTTGATCTGCATTTCCTAGCACACTCACCACTTGCTACCTATGCAGGCCAGAATAATAATAATTGTCATCAAATGTAGTGATCTTGAAAGATTGGCCAGGCACTGGGCCAAATTCCTTGTTTTGTTGAATCTCCACCACAATCCTTTGAAATAGATACTATTAACCTCATTTTTATTTTATTTGGGTGGTGTTGTGTGGCTTGCAGAATCTTAGTTTCCCCACTAGGGATTGAACCTGGTCTCTCAGCAGTGAAAGTCCTAACCACTGGTGATTAGTCGCCTAGTCGCTCAGTCGTGTCCGACTCTTTTTGACCCCACGGACTGCATGCAGCCCGCCAGGCTCCTCTGTCCATGGGGATTCTCCAGGCAAGAATACTGGAGCGTGTTGCCATCTTCTCCTCCAGGGGGTCTTCACAACGCAGAGATCGAACCCAGGTCTGTACATTGCAGGCAGATTAACCACTGGACTACGGAATTAATCCCTTTAACCTCATTTTTGTGTGAGGAAACTGAGGCTCAGAAAAGTTAAGTAAAATGCCCCAAATCATGCAGCTGATAAATGATAAAGGCAACCCAAAAAATCACTCTAGAATCCATATAGTCTTTGGAATACATACTGTGTTATAAGTAAATGTGTTAGAGTTTCAGCTCCATAATTCACAGCTGCATGACCCTAGCAATTTACTAACCTCTCTAAACCTCAATTTCCTGGTTGGTAAAATGGGGATAATAATATCTACCTCACAAGATCACTGCAGGACAAAGTATCACATGACCTTGTCACAAAAAAGTGGCCCATAAAGAGTAGCTGCTCATAATGCTCACAAAGTGAGCATTATCTGCTCACCTGTTTTGTCTCCCATACTGAGTTAACAATCCTTTCAGAAAGATGCTTTTATTCTCTTTGCATTTTGTGACATTTAGCATAGTGTTTTATATATAGTAACTAAACACCATGAATATCTGTTTAGTGTTGGGATGGGAGAGCGAGGGAAAGAGGAAGGAATGGATGAATGGATGAATTAATGGATAATTTATTGCTGGTGACAATCTAAGTCAAATCTCCTTTCTTCTTCCCCTGGAACTTTACACATCCTCTATGAAATTTCCTCACATTGTATTATATATGTATACTGTATTTTATATATAATTTGGGGGGGGGGGGGCATACCATACTTATAGATGATAGTTTCCTGATCAGGGATTGAACCCAGGCCACAGCAGTGAAAGTGCTAAGTCCTACCCACCGGACCTGTATTCGATTATTTAATTCTCTGTATTTAATTTTCTTGCTTAACATTTCCCTTTTTCTATGTTGAGAAGTATATATACCTTTAACTCTATTTGCTCCCTAAATGCAGGTCTGGTGAGTGAAATATGAAATGAATTTGATAAATGTTTGCTGAGAGTATAACTAGTTGGGAGGCCTCACTGGGTCCTTATGTCCCAAAAGAAAGAAAGAATTTCTGTGGCTTGGGTGGGATTTATATCCTGAGATGACTCTGCCATCTGGAGCTACAGAATCATGAACCTGTAAGCTACTTTGGTTTTTGACTGGACATACTTCTGGAAGTCACAAAGACAGGCACGCCTAAAGATTATTGACTCATTTTAATATTTTAACTTAATTTAAAATTAAATTTAAATATGCAAATTCAATTATAATTACCTTAAGCTCTGTGAAAGAAAGGGAGAAACAACTTAATGAATGTATAATAGTCTAAATGCAGACCACTCCACTCTAGCATTCCATTCAGTATGTCATATGTCAGTATAAGCTCCTGGGAGTTAGCAAGGACATGAGGTTATAGTCATATACATCATGCTCAACTAGCATAGAATGGGTATCAAAGAATGGCCAAATTATGACTTCACATAAAGATGCCTTTTTCTCCTGCCATTGCTTCGCAGCTTGCAGGATCTTAGTGCCCTGACTAGGGATCAAGCCAGGGCCCCAGAAGTGAAAATGCAAAATCCTAACCACTGAACCACCAGGGGATTCCCTAAATGTGCTTTTTATTTTGAAAATTAAATATTTTAATACTCTTATTTTAAACAGATTTGTTTAGAAGAGATTTCATCTTACTCCAATGGTATGATACTTTTTCATTTGTTTTCTAAGATTTTAAAATATGTAATGTGATTTTATTGAGTTTATTTTCTAAGGTTATTTTCAAGTATCTTGTGGGGGGCGGAGAGTGTTCCTTCTTCGATTTCAAGAAAAAAGTTAATATTTGGATTTCAAGCTGTGTGAATAAAGATGGACAGCTGAGAAATGGTGTGCATGGAAGGATGAGGAGGTTTGTAGTATAAGGATGGGAGTAGGTGATGGAAAGTATAACTCCCCTTGAATAACAAGCTTGTTTCTCCCAGTCCTCCCTTTCTACTCTCTCTTTTCTCTCAGACTTTCATTTTTTGGAAACATACACATATCCTGGTGACATTTATCCTTTGACCAAAGGATGGAAACAGAGGTCACTGAACCAGATGGTGCAAGGAAAGATCTAAACCTCATGGAGTAGAATTTGGTCATTAAGTTTATCCTCCCTCATCTCCAATTCCTGCTCCAAATCCACTGATCCCCTTTCCTCATCTTTGTATATACATTTTAAAAGACATACACCTTTATACCTCTCTCTGTGTTTATATCAGTTCAGTTCAGTCACTCATTCATGCCCGACTCTTTGCAACCCCATGGACTACAGCACACCAGGCTTCCCTGCAATCACCAACTCCTGGAGCTTACTCAAACTCATGTCCACTGAGTTGATGACGCCATCCAACCATCTCATCCTCTGTCATCCCCTTCTCCTCCTGCCTTTAATGTTCCCCACCATCAGGGTCATTTCCAATGAGTCAGTTCTTGGCATCAGGTGGCCAAAGTATTGGAGCTTAAGCTTTAGCATCAGTCCTTCCAATGAATATTCAGGGCTGATTTCCTTTAGGATGGACTGGTTGGATCTCCTTGCAGTCCAAGGGACTCTTAAGAGTCTTCTCCAACACCACAGTTCAAAAGCATCAATTCTTCCGTGCTCAACTTTCTTTACAGTCCAACTCTCACATCCATATATGACTGCTGGAAATACCATAGCTTTGACTAGAGGGACCTTTGTTGGCAAAGGAGTACGTACTGCTTTTTAACATACTGTCTAGGTTGGTCATGGCTTTTCTTCCAAGGAGCAAGTGTCTTTTAAATTCGTGACTGCAGTCACCATCTACAGAGATTCTGGTGCCCCCCAAAAATAAAGTCTGTCACTGTTTCCATTGTTTCCCCATCTATTTGCCATGAAGTGATGGGACCAGATGCCATGATCGTAGTTTTCTGAATGTTGAGTCTTAAGTCAACTTTTTTCACTTTCCTCTTTCACTTTCATCAAAAGGCTCTTTAGTTCCTCTTCACTTTCTGCCATAAGTGTGGTGTCATCTGCATATCTAAGGGTATTGATATTTCTCCAGGCAATCTTGATTCCAGCTTGTGCTTCATTCAGCCAGGCATTTTGCATGATGTACTCTGCATATAAGTTAAATAAGCAGGGTGACCATATATATCCTTGACGTACTCCTTTCACAGTTTTGAACCAGTCCATTGCTCCATGTCTGGTTCTAACTGTTGCTTCTTGACCTGCAAACAGATTTCTCAGGAGGCAGGTAAAGTAGTTTGTTATTCCCATCTCTTTAAGAATTTTCCAGTTTGTTGTGATCCACACAGTCAAAGGCTTTAGCATAGTCAATGAAACAGAAGTAGATGTTTTTATGGAGTTCTCTTACTTTTTGGGGGATCCAATGGATAATGGCAATTTGATCTCTGGTTCTTCTGCCTTTTCTAAGTCCAGCTGTTCAAGAAATGTACAATGGTCAAGAAATGTACAATGCATTTTAAGATGGAGAAAGAACAGAGAATCAAACAGTGTACAATTATTAAATAATATAAGTACTATCTTGTCATCCAGTCTCATAAAAATGCTTGACTGCAAGGAGGCGCAGAATTCTCCAAAATGTACACCATGAATATTTTTATTTTTTTAAAGTCTAGTTGATTTACAATGTTGTGTTAGTTTCTGTTGTACAGCAAAATGATTCAGATGTATATATACTATATGTATCTTCATATTCTTTTCTATTATGGTTTATGAAAAGATATTAAATACAGTACCCTGTACTGTACAGTACAAAATATTTGTTTATTTTATATATAGTAGTTTGTATCTGCTAATCCTAGACTCCTAATTTATCCTTCCTCCACCCCCTTCACCCTTTGGTAGTCTTAAATTTGTCCCCTTGTCTGGGAGTCTATTGCAATTTTGTAAGCAAGTTCATTTGTATCTTTTTTTTTTTTTTTTTCAAAAAGAACCTTTATTCTGATTTGAATAGCCTCTTATGCACTCATGCTTTCTTGCCAGATGCCTTTGGAGCAGGTGCTTTCTGGGATGGAGCTTTCTGACCCTTCTGAGTTTTAGGAGGATGTGTTGCCTTCTGGCCTGCAGCTTTCTGGGCAGGAACCTTCTGAGCTGGAGCCTTCTTACCCCCAGTGGTGATCTTTTTCGCTGGAACCTTGGCAGTGGCAGCAGCTGCTGCAGCTGCCCCCTTATCAGCAAGGGCTTTCTTGGGAGAAGCTTTCAGGAGAGCTGCCTTTTGAAGTTTCTTAACTTCAATCTTGATTAATCTGTTCCTCCTTTTCCTTGCCTTCATGACTTTGTAACGATCAAAAGCTGTCATCTTGGCTTTCTTTTCTCTGGCTTCAGTCTTCCTGGCCCACCTTGTGGCTGCCCACTTTGCATTGATATCTGCCTTCTCCCAGGCTTTCCAGACTCACTTCTGGCGGGCACGGTGTGGGAACTTGAGGATGAAGTCAGTGAGCTGCATGCATTTGAAAGGCATAGCTTGTCTCCTTACTTGAGTGCAAGGTCCATCCACCAAAGCCCTGTTCCGATCAATAACATCTATAATTGCAACCAGCTTCCAGGCATGAGGCCCAAAGGAGACGTAGGCCACCCGGCCAACCTCTACGAAGTGCCTGAACACCATGTTGGTGGCGTTCAGAGAGAAGTGCATCATATTTTAGATTCCACATATAGACAGTATCATATATTTGTCATTCTCTTTCTGATATGATAATCTTAATATGATAATCTCTAGGCCCATCCATTTTGCTGCAAATGGCATTATTTCATTCTTTTTTTTGGCTGAATAATATTCCATTGTGTATATATACCACATCTTCTTTATCCATTCATCTGTTGATGGAAACTTAGGTTACTTCCATGTCTTGGCTATTGTAAATAGTGTTTCTATAAACATTGGGGTGCATGTGTCTTTTCAAATTAGAGTTTTCATCTTTTCTGGTTATATACCCGGGAGTGGGATTGCTGGATCACATGGTAACTCTATTTCTAGTGTTTAAAGTAAACTTCATACTATTTTCCAAAGTGGTGGTTTAGTTGCTGAGTCAGGTCTGACTCTTGTGACTCCATGGACTGTAGCCCACCAGGCTTCTCTACCCATAGGATTTTCCAGACAAGAATGCTAGAGTAGGTTGCCATTTCCTTCTCCAGGGGATCTTCCTGACCGAGTGATCAAACCCAGGTCTCCTGCACTGCAGGTGGATTCTTTACTGACTGAGCTACGAGGGAAGTCCATTTTCCATAGTTCAGTTCATTTCAGTCGCTCAGTCATGTCCAACTCTTTGCGACCCCATGGACTGCAGCACGCCAGGCCTCCCTGTCCATCACCAACTCCCGGAGTCCACCCAAACCCATGTCCATCAAGTCGGTGATGCTGCACCAATTCACATTACCACCAACAGGATAGGAGTGTTCCCTCTTCTCCATACCTTTTCCAGAGTTTATTATTTGTAAACTTTTTAGGGATGGCCATTTTGATCAGAGTGAGGTGATTCCTCATTGTAGTTTTGACTTGCATTTATCTAATAATTAGCAATGTTGGGTATCTTTTCATGTGCCTGCTGGCCATCTGTATGACTTCTTTGGAGAAATGTCTAGGTCTTATCCCCTTTATCAGCTGGGTTGTTTCGTTTTTATTACTGAGTTATATGAGCTGTTTGTGTATTTTGGAAATTATGCCCTTGTCAGTCTTATCATTTGCAAATATTTTCTCTCATTCCATAGGTTGTCTGTTTATTTTTGCTTATGGTTTCCTTTGCTGTGCAATAGCTTATAATTTGGATTAGGTCCCATTTGTTTATTTTTGCTTTTATTTCTAGTGCCTTGGAAGACTGATTTAAGAACACATTGCTAAGATTTATGTACCAGAATGTTTCACCTATGTTCTCTTTCTAGGTACACTATGTATCCTTAACTTCCATGTTTAAGCTAGTTGCTATTCACCTCAAACCCACAAGTTCAGTAAAGTCAATATTTACAGCAACTCTTCCAGTTCTTCACTTTGCTCTCTGTTAACTGATTTCCAGCCCCTTTGGACTAACAGGTTGTCTTCAGGATCTTCAGCTCTTCCTGGTTCTCCTCAACTTATTCTGGCTTTGATTTGCCCCATCAGCTCTCCTCACTTTGAACTATCTTCTGTATAAACTGGCTCTAATCAACTCCATGAGAACCATGTGTTCTGGCTCATTTCAAGGCCATAAAAGCAGTTCCAGGATAAATGAGGACCCACATCAGAAGTCCCTATGAATCTTGGGGGACTTATGGACTTATGGAATTATGGATGTGGGATAAAGCAGTGGTATAGTTTGGAACTGGAAATAATGTCCAAAACAAATAAAGACCTGTCACCAAAAGTTTAAAGTCCAAACCATTACAAAATAGCTGCATAATAATAAACTGGAAAGTATTTGTTTTATTTTCTGCTGTGCAGTAGGTACTTGGTGCAAACAGATACTTTAAAAAAAAAAAATCTGTTGAATGAATGAGTGTGAATGAGGGATATAAGGGATTTGCAATTGAAATATGATTAGGAATCAATTAGACATAACACTTTTTTAACACTAGAATTAGTCACTGGGGGATCCCATTCCTGGGAATAATCTCCAATGTGGGAAATAGATTATTATTTAATTGAATAGCTTAGGGTCTGAAGTTATCAGAATGGAATTGGCTTCTAAAATACGTTGGTCCCTACAAGAAAAAAAGTTCATAAATTCTAGAGAAGATGGAGAAATTAAGAGCTATCTTTTAAAGTTTTACTTCTGCTTGGGTTCTCTCTCATTCTTGCCTCTAGCCATTTATTCTTTACGTAGTGCAAAGGGCAATTCCTTGAGATAAGATCTGGTTTTGGAGAACCTTTTGAAAAGTCTTTTAACCTCTCTTGGTCTTAGTTTCTTTATCTGAAAAGCAAGAGATTTGGAAATGATCCCTATGGCCCCATCTAGGGCCCCATCTAGCTCCAAAGTCCTTGAGAATCCACTTGTTCTTAAAGTTTCCTTCTGAAGGCTCTGACCATGATTCTATGATAGCCGTCAGTTATTCACATTTTCTGACATAACCCTTCAATCCCTTTGTTCTATCCTTCCAAAGATTTCCATCTGACTTAACTCTTTCTTTCCCAGCACTCTGAATTGTTCCTTCACATGGCTTCGTTTGTTTGCCTTTGTCATCATTCTCCCCACCCCACCTTTGCCTTCACTGTTCGTACCTCATTTGTTGATATGCTGATTTTCTTTTAAACAACCAACCTTAGGCTCTCCGGAACTTCAGCAAATTGTTCCTATAATTTTTTCCTTGAAAACACAGGCACGCATACTAGCCCCCAACCCCAACCCTAGGCTCCTCCCCCTGCCTGCTAGGCTCGTGGCCCTTCCCCCACAACCTCCCTCTCCTGTTCCACAACCTTGACCTGTTCACAAACTCCATTTCCCCTTATTTAACAAGAGTAACATTGAGAAACCAAGAAAGCAAAAAGGATAACTTCTCTCCTTTCTCTTATGAATGTTTAAATCCCTGCCATCTTTTGCCAATTGAACTCCAAAAAGAAACACCAGACAAGACTCAATCTGAATGACCTCCTTGATCTTCACTCCCTCCCTCTGCCCCTAAAACACCATGGCAACTGTCACCTGAAAGAGGCCATGCAGAAATCATCTGATAAGACCAGGGATTGCTTGCCAGTGCTTTTTTATTTTATAAAGTTCTGCAAAGGGCACTCTTCCCTTACTTTTCACTGCCTTACTCCCTAATGCAAGACCATTGGAACATGTGGTAATAGATGTAATTAAAAGAATCATAATTTGTAGATATTTACTTGTGGGTCTTCAAATTTTCCTTGCAAGTTGAAAGTTCAAGTCATACGACAGGTCTGCACCCAGAAGGTGAGGCCTGTAACAGACAGAAATCAGAGGGATGGCAATAAATGGTCACACTGTGGTGAAAAACACGGGTTGTCAAGTCAGGCAAATTTCACTCTGCCACTTATCAGCTATCAGACCTTGAACAAGAAAGCTACTTTGTCTTTTATGCCTCAGTTTCTTTACTGCAAAATAGGATGTTCTGCTTGCCTAAAATGGGGATTATATAATGAGCCCTTGCAAAGTTATTTAAAGGATTAAAGGAGACATGCAATCAAAGGGTGTGATACTGCAGAGTGCACCTTAGCAATGATTAGCTATGGCTATGGCTATCATAGAAAGGTCACATGTCATGTCAAAGAAAGTTTTCTAGATTCCTAGTTTTGTTCTCTTGCAATTAAAATCAAATTCCTCATGGGATTCCAATTCCTAGGAAGGTACAGGAAGTGCTTCCAGAGTGCCTCCTCTTCTACAAACTAGAAAAAGAGGAATGCTAACAGCAGAGTATTGTCCTGAGAGAAGAGGCCTTGAATGAAATGCCAAAGAATTTCCTGGACCCCCATTCGACTGAGGTTGTATTTTTAGAGCAAAAGCCACTCTGAGTTTAGAAACACTTTTCAGAGGCTTCAAAGTATATTACTCTCAACCACATCAACAAACATTTGGCCAACAGTGGTACACACATATTGTTTCCTGGGACCACAGACTGGACTCACTTCCTGTGTACATGGATTGCCTTGTAACAACACTGCAGGCCCCTAGGTATCTACAACCCATGGTTTCAAAAGCAACAATCAAGCTCAACTGTCTCAAACTGCAAAAGAATCATTTAAGAGTTTATTTTTAAATCTTAGGCTTCAGACTCAGAGACTGATTAAGGAGATCAGGGGTAGAGGCTAGGAATGTGAATTCTGCATAAATTCCCCATGTGATTACCTGTGATTACAGTGAACCCAGAGGAGTTACAGAGCTCTGGGAATTAGCATCCCTGACTGGGCCTTCTTTCTCTTCCTTGGAGGATCTCATTCCAATCACCTTCTCTTTGTTTCTCACAGTTTTGGGCTTCTTTGACTGCACTATTGTGCTGATATCACACAACAATGTGCAGGAAAATCTCTGAGAGTCAAACATAATGACTGGCTTTCTTTAAAGAGCAATAACATTCAACTATACTTCAATTTTTTCCAAAAGCAACAATGTATCTTTGCTTTTTAAGGACATATTTTTTGATAATAAGAGTACCCTAACATCTCTTTAAACTAATTCAGAGGCAACCTGTGCTCACACATGAAGGATACAGTGTTCTGCTTGAAAAGTAGGAGTCCTGAGCAAAGTCCTGCTTTGGCTCCATGATGTAAACACCCAACAGTATTTTATCCCTTAAGAGAGGAAAAATTTTAAGTCAACAGGGAAGCCAAAATAGAAAATATTTGTAAAATTAGCAAATATCATAAAAAGGAACCACAAAGCCAGAATAAAGAGTCCATCTTCACTACCAACTACTTCCTGCCCAAAATATCCTCCCATCCCGCCCCCCACCCCCAAAGCCTCTCAGGCTTCCACACAGGGGAACGAACTGGAGGTAGGGTGCTAGGGTAAGTCCTTTTTTCCCATCCTTCATTATCTTCAATGCCAAGAGTGCCTCTTGAGCTTTTGGGGAACTTAAATGCTTAGTTTACAAGGTCAAATGACTATGGAACATTTTCCAAAAATTAAATCACCAATTAAAGAAGGAAACGTGCTGTTTTCGTATTCTCTTCTTCTACTAAGTTTCTCTCAATCTCTCTCTCTCATTTCCCTCTCCTTTCATTCTTTTGCTCTTTCTCTCCCTCACTTCTTTTCTCCCTCTCCCTCCCTCTCTCTCCTCCCCCTCCCCTCTCCACTTCACCACACACAGAAACCCCTTTTCAAAGGGGCTTTTTTCCAACTCAGTGAAGTAAAGTCTTTGCCCCTTTGTGGGGAAGGCTCATTAACATTCCCACAGCAGCATCTCTTCAAGGATTTTACTTTTGTAACTCTGTGGGGAGGTCAAGAGGCCACAGTGGAGAGGTAAAAGGAAAAAATGGTAAATGGGGGAGGGCGGAAGAAAGGAGAGGAGGGGAAAGAGCCCTTCCTTTCACAATAAGGACAGCAAGAAAGAGGGTGGACCAAAGTAGGAAAAGACCAGACAGACAAGACTTAGGAAAGAGATGAATACTGGGCCCCCAGATGTGCCCTTAGAGATCTCCAGACTCCTAAGGAAAGCAGAATGCTAGGTTCCTTCTCTCATTTGTTTTCCTCAAAGAGGAAGAACCTGATGGAAACAGTGAAATTATAGAGTGACAAAACCCAGTCTATTCCACTGAGAAATTAGAACTTTCCTGGCCCCTGTGTTCCCATTTCCTCCACAATAGCCTAGTGATAACTGCACCTGTCTACCACAAGGAGGTTAATAGGATGAATAAGACAATGTTAGCAAGAATTCTGAGGACTGCCCATGAGGGAGCCACTCAAGGTCCTGACCCCAAAAAACTGGGAAAATAATGGAGACTCCATGGACTCCAAAGCAAAGATCAGAGTACTCCCCAAATCTCTTTAGATGGGGGTAACTGCCTCTTTTATCACAGCAACCCTCCTACCATCTGTCTTTCTCTCTCCCTTTCTTATTACTGCCAAACTAAGTTGCACTTGTGTAAGGGAAGAAATGAAGGAAACTTCAAGTGTGCACCCAACACTTAGTGAGTTTGCTTTGCTTTTCTCTGAAGACACAGCCATCAGATTTACATCACTCAACTCCAAAAGGCAAAATATTCCCACTTTCCTAACAGATGGCGTTTCTGATGTTCTCTTATCTTAGCCAGTAGAGTAAAAGATAAATAAGTTTAAAAGAGAGGACCTAGGCATTATAGTTAGAAGATAGGGCATATCTAGATAGTCTATGCAAAGTAGTAACATTAGCACCTCAAATTCAGGGAGGAGCAGCAATGTCAGAAGTTAAAGAACAATAAATCAATCACCCTTTAGTGTGCAATCTGAACAGGAGAGACTCGGTTGGCTCATTGCTAATGATGGTTTTTTGTTGTTGTTGTTTGGCCACACCACATCTTAGTTTCCTGACCAGGGATCAAACCTACATCCCCTGCATTGAAAGTGCAGAGTCTTAAACCACTGGACCACTGGGCAAGTACACCAAATGCTATGTTCTTAAAGATCAAATTTAATATCCACAAAGAAATTCTTTCCACAGAATCTTTGACAACTGTTTTCAGTCCCTGTGAAAACATATCACAAAGAGCTCACAAATTTACAGGAGAATCCATCACACTTTATAAAGTTCCTTTATACTGAGCTGAAGGTGCCTCCTGGTAACTTCTGTTCTGGTGGTGCATGAATGCTCAGTCGTTTCAGACGTGCCAGACTCTTTGCGATCCCACAGACTGTAGCCCACCAGGCTCCTCTGTCCATGGAATTATCCTGGTAAGAATATTGGAGCAGGTTGCCATTTCCTCTTCCAGGGGATCTTCCTGACACAGGGATCCTACCTGTGTCTCCTGCATTGGCAGACAGGTTCTTTACCACTTGAGCCACCCCACCAGGGAAGCCAATGTCTCCTCTGGAGTACCACAGAAATCTTCTGTATGATTTTCTCAAGGGTGGCATCCCTTCAACTCTGGAAGCTGGAAAGAAGTAGAAGACACAGAAGAGCCCCTGACCCTGTAGCTATTTTAAATGAGATTCCTTAAGATCAATCATTTTCATTTTACATGCTAGGAGTTTGGTGGCACATTTTACCTTTTAACGCTAGAGAGGAAAAAAAAATGCTAGACTACTGTCAGTTCCACCTGGCTTCCAGGGTTGTTTCTGTTACATCACAGCTGTGCAATCTTGGACAAGTTACTTAACCTCCCTGAGCCTTTTGGTTCAGCTATAAAGAGGATCATCTATAAATAGGAGTAGTAAAACTGGCTGTGTTAACCTCAAAGATGTATTTCTCAAAATATGCCCTATACATGACAATATCTTATAAATTTTAAAGAGATCTACACATATACAATGATCATTTTTACTTAATTTTTTGTCAGCCTTTCTCATTTTTGACTGGCAAGTGACTGAGTTCTTGGCCTTATAATCAGGATATACCAGAAAGTTCTCATTTCAGCTTATACCCCAGAAGCAGTCACATCTTCCAACAAGGTGGCACAGAATCATGAAATAACCAGAAAACACTGTGAAGAGCTTAGAGGAAGAGTTAGAAAAACAACCGAGGGACATTTTCTGAACAGACAGCAGAGCGAGAGGCGCGGAACCCGGGCAGGGAGGAGAGGGTTAAATCCTTTCCTCTGCAGTACAAAAGAAAAGAGTGTGCGGAAAGATTAGGATTTTTGCTTTTACAATGGGAGCTGCAGAAGCGTAGGGAAGAAGCTGAAGAAAAAAAAGGGGGCGTCTCCCCTTTAAAGACTTGCAGAGATTGAGAGAGAGTCAGAGACTGAGAATCAGAGCGCGCGTGTGTCTGTCTGTCTGTCCCTGGGAAGCGAGAACATCTCTGCTTCACAGTGATTGGCATTGGGGGAGAGGCATCAGTTGGCTTCAGACCCAGGGGGGAGACCAGACCAGGTCACCCCGATTCTGACTAAGTGAGCGTTGTCCCTCCCTGTCCCACCTCTCTCTACCCGGGAATGTCTCGGCGAAAGCAGCGGAAACCCCAACAGTTAATCTCGGACTGCGAAGGTCCCAGCGCGTCTGAGAACGGTGGGTGCCGGGGAGGGGTGGGGGTGGGGGCCGAGTCCAAGCCTGTGTGGGTCAGGCCAGGGCCAGGGGAGGGCACCCGGGCCATGGGCGAAACCAGGGGGAGGACTTGGTCACTAGGGGGTTGAAAGAGTTGAGTTGCAGGGAGTAAGGAGATGATGACCTGCGCTGGAGAGAAGCCTCGCTTGGCTTTTCTCAGGGTTGATTCTGTTTGTTTTCCGTGTTGCTTTTCTTTGGATGAAATGGAGTTTTCAAACTGGCTCTGTCTCCCCACCCAAGAGTTTTCTCCCCAGGTCCCCCTTTGCTCACTGGTCTTTGTGCCCGTTGCTAAGTAACCTTCTCAGACCTGAAGACCCGTCTCTTAGGGGTGGGATTTCCCAACTCCCCCCACCCCCCACCCCCGCGCCAACCCCCAGCCTTTTCTTTCTGGAGAGTTGGGTTGCAAGGGAATGAATTGGATGAACGTGAAGGTTCCCCTGAGGGAGAGGAGAAAAAAGTTTCTTATTGTTGGGCTGAGCAGAGAACAGATCGGAGCTCCCAGAGGGAGAGAGCTAATGTCGGCCAGACGCAGCCTGGTTTGGAGTGTGTATCTGTGTCACCTGGGGTGGAGGCTGGAGGAAAGGTCTGGATGAGGGGCTTTGGTGGGTGCTTCAAGGAAAGCCAAACTAAAGAAACCGTATGTGTTAACATACGTGCATGTTAATACATGCACATCATTTTATGAGGATATTATCATTTATGTAACAGATTTTCTTAACTTTCATGTCTTCTTATAACATTCCAGGAAGAGGCAGCCAACAGAGCATCTAAGGTACTGAGCAATGACGTTGCTCAAAGTCTCAGAAACAGGCATAATCAGGAAAGAAAGCTTGATTTTATGATAATCAGAGCTAGTAGTACACACTCCACCTAAACTAGGGTTTTCCAATCTTGCTTGGTTGTGGGTAGATGTGAGCTAGTCTGGGAATCTGTACCTTTGCAAATATCCCTGTACTTCTTAGGATTGAGCAAGTTTTGGATAATCTTGTATGGCTATGTATTTCACACTGTGAAAGTTTGAAAGTTCTGGCTCAGGGAGAAGCTATTTATTTAGCAAACAGCTGATTCAGCCAACAAGGTGGTATAGGATTAAACACAAGGATTCTGAAGGCAGAATTTCAGGATTCAAATCCTGGCTTTACCTCTTGGTTAGCTGTGCAGCCTTTGTCGATTTACTTTGCTTTTCTATGTCTGTTTCCTCATCTGTAAAATGGGAATGAATATACTGAGTACTACCTCATTAGGTTATTGAGTTAATACATGTTAGTACACTTAGAAAAATAAAAATAACTAGCATAAATAAGTGCTTAAAACATGTGGTATAGCCCCTAGCATAAATAAGTATTTAACATGTGAGTATTATTATTATATGTGAGTATAGTGGCACTTCTTGCAAATACTGAAATAAGACCAAAGCTCTGGGAACTCTTGGTAAACTTCAGCATTTTTTTATAAGATATGTGTCATGGAAACCTCTAGGATAATGTATTTGTAGTAGTTAAAACTAAAACATGGATTAAACTTACCTTCTCACCTGCTGTTAAAAAAAAAAAAGGACTTGAGATCAAGTCAGTGCGCCACATGCTACAGACATTTTGGCTTTTGTGTAGAACACATCCCCTTCAAGTCAGTGCTTTACTGGGATCCCACTGTGCCAGTATTAAGAGGTTCTAGCTGGTGGCATCCTTCCCTCCTGGGACACATTAGCCCCCCCTTAATGAGGCTGCAGGCCGGATGTTTCCTCCTGCTGCTCAACAGGAGACTTCCCCCCAGAGTCTCCAAGTTGCCTTACAGCTCTGCTCCCCTGCTGGTTGGATTGCGGAACAATACTGAATCCCCCCAGAGGCGTCCTCCTCTCCTCCCCTCTCCCGTGTCTCCCCACTTCCTCAGCTCACCCACTCCCTACACCACGGCTGAGGAAGAGTCTGGGAGGCGGCTACGAATTCTTGCACAACTGCCCTGAGAGGACTCTCCAGCCCCTTGAGCTATAGCTCCCACTTGTGGCTGTGAACACCTGGGGGCACGGAAATGCTGCTGCAAAGCCGTCCCCATAGAAACAGTATAGGCTTGAACTCAACGGCAGCAAAGAATTTCAGTTGAAATTTTGCCTTTGAGCCATAAAAGTTAAAAACATAAATGTCAGGAGCAAGAAAGCTGTAGTTAAGCTTAAGAAAGCCGATGCGTTTTCTGTTCAGTATTCTCCTGAGAGTGAAAGATCCTTGGGCTACTAGCATGACCTGGGGTGTAATGGGGTCTCATATGTAAGATGAGGTGGCTAATATTTGATCAAATCTAAAATTCCTTCATGCTCTTAGAAGATATACAGATAGGGTTTCTAGTCACTCACGTTATCTTCAGGCTCCTGAGTTCTCCTTCTACCCCAGGGACATTTGTTGTTGTTGTTGTTCTGCAGGCCCCCAAATTAGGTAGGGAGGGCTCTTATTTGGGGGCTCTTACGTGTGCCCTTTTACAGGTGTACCTGTGGAGCTATGGGCATCCTCATGACCATCAGCAGACATTTATTTTAGTAGGCTAGGGTGCCACTAAGGCTTTCAGGAGTCTTTGCCTTCCTTTAAGCAATGTTTACCTATGTGACAAGCAAATGCTGAGCCTTTGTTGCACATTTTAAAAGCCTCATCTCTGCAGTGACCTAAGATATCAGCAAGACACAGTCTGAAAAACCTGTTTTCCAGCCCTCTTTTTGTTCAGCTTCCCTGACCAGAACACCAAAAACCTAACAGAATAGTAATTGCACGTAAGTGATGAGAAGGAAATAGTCTATTTACTTAAAAACTCTGGAGAGAAAAAAAAATTCCTCTCTTCCCTACAGAGTCTAGAAGTCTGGAATAGAGAACATAAGGGATGTGAATAGGGAAAATGTAAACTAGTGCATCTGGGAAATAAAGGAAACCATCAGAAACCCAGATATTTAGTGAAAAGGAGAAACCAGGACGACAGCCAAACAGATTTAGGGGAAGAAATGGCAGTTGGCAGATACCAAGAGCAGCAAAAGGGGAAAGTAGGCAAAAATAGAGTTGTGAGGGTTCTGTCCTCTTTACAGCATCCTCCCTTGGAGTATTGATTCCTGAGCCTTTAAGCCCAAGGCACTCCTGGGTCAAAAAGAAAACATTTCTGAGTAGCTAGAAAGTACTCAGGCAGGGTACAATAGAGCACTGGATAAGGACACAGAAAACCTGGTTTTCAGTCCAGCTTGGACTTGGAAGTTTTGTGACCTTGGATAAGTCCAGCCTTCTCCCAGGGTTTCAGCTTTTAGTCTTTACAGAATAATACTCATTGCTAATATTTGCAGAGCATTTACTATTTGTCAAGTACTATGCTATGCCCTTTGTATATTTCCTTTTGTTTATTTCTCTGCTATTATTACCTCCATTAAAATGACTTTAATTTATGGTGAAATATACAAAACAAAATTTGTCATTTTTAAGCATACAATTCAGTAGCATTAAGTATATTCACAATTCTGTGTGACCATCACTACCATCCATCTCAGAGCTCTTTCATCTTGCCAAACTGAAACTGTATACCCTTTAAATAATAACTCCCCATTTGCTTCACCCAATCCCACCAGCCCCAGAAAATCACTATTCGACTTTCTGTCTCTGTGAATTTACCATTTCTAGGGATCTCACATAATGAAACCATACAATATGTGTCCATTTGAGTGGCTTATTTCCATCTGGCTTATTTCACTCAGCATAATGTTTTCAAGTCTCATCTGTGTTGTAGCACTGCATAAGAATTTCATACCTTTTTGTTGCTATACCCCCATTTTAAAAAGAAATCCAAGCCTTAGGGAAATTAAGAAACTTTCCCCAAGGTCACAAAGATTAGAAAGTGCTGGCACTTTAACTGAGGTCTGATTCAGAGCTGACATTCTCAATCACTGTGCTCAGTGAGAGGTCAGCTCTCTAAAGTCACTTCCAGCTTCAAAACAGTATGAATTCCATGTTAAGTGCCGAGTCCTTTGATATCAGAAAAATGCCTGTTTTAATAAAACCCTTTTTTTGGTGTGTTTGATCTAAGATATTCTTATTCTGGAAACATATATTTTTCTCACTTAGCACCAGATGTACCTGTGCCTGTTTGTCCACTGCGTTGCACAGGTCAAGGGTACACTTACTAGGTGTGAGTGACAGAAGGGTATGTGGATGCATTTAGGAGAGAGGAGTGAGGAAGAGAAGATCATTTATTCTCCCTTAGAAATCCTCTATAGCAGCAATTACAGAATCAACTCATAATTGGGGACACTATCAATTGGTGTTGGTCCAACATTAACAGTAAGTTTAGGCAGGGCTTACATAGTATGCTCATTTCTTTAATGATTAGATGGAGCCTGAACTCTGTGTACTACAAAGCCTTTCATTTTACAATTAGAAGTATGGCTCAAGATGCACATACAGTCACTTAAACTCATAGTCGGGTGTATATCATGTCAATTTCTGTTCATGGAAGCAGGGTACAAGAGAGTCAAAATGTACCTGTGGTCAGAGTAGAGAGAGAACCCGACAGGCAGATTTTATTTTGCATTGAGCAACTCGTTTTACTTATGTCCTAATTTTGGTAAAGTTGAGCACAGGTAAGATTTGTGACCTTCCCCGGTGGCTCAGCAGTAAAGAATTCTCCAGCAATGCAGGAGAAACTGATTTGATCCCTGGGTCGGGAAGATCCCTTGGAGAAGAAAATGGCAACCCACTCCAGTATTCTTGCCTGTGAAATCTCATGAACAGAGGAACCTGGCAGGCTACAGTCTATGGGGTCACAAAAGAGTCAGCACTTTCTACTTTTCCACTTTGAAGACTTGTGAGAAGCAGGGTGGAAGGGTGTGATGGGCAAGGCACTTCTCTGATACACACTATGGATCTCCTCCTTGGCTGTACATTGGAATCACTTGAGGAGCATTACAAACATTGATGCCTAGACCCACCCTGGCCAGGCTTCCCAGGTGGCTCTAGTGGTAAAGATCCCCCCAGCCAATGCAGGAGACCTAAGAGATGCCGGTTCGATCCCTGGGCCCAGAAGATTCCCTGGAGTAGGAAATGGCTACCCTGTATTCTTGCTTGGCGAATCACATGGACAGAGGAGCCTGACAGGCTACAGTTCATATCTTCACAAAGCGTCAGACTTAGCATGCATGCACACACAGCCTGGCCACTGGGATTTTTTAAAGCTCTTCCAGTAATTCTAATGGGCAGCAAAGTTTGAGAACTTCTGTTCAAGTCTACCTGCTACCCACTGATTTTTCTGTTTTCCGAGCCATCCTTTCCCAAGTTTGATGAGCCACCAGATTTAGAGTCACCTGATTTCATTCTTCCTTGTCATTTCAGCTCTTTATAAATTTAAAGCAGCATATCCAGGTCTCAGTCCTGTGTCCATCCCAGACTTTGCATGTGACCCAGGATAGCTTACTTCACCTTATCTACTATCTAGGGACACCATTACTGGATTTGTTTAGTCCTGTGTTTATGACTTCATTCGTGTCTGCCTAAGAATCCCACCCCCCTTTTCAGGATAGGCAGTGAGTGCAAAGTGCTGAAAAATAGAGGGCTCCTCTTACAGGTGGCTGTTGATCCATCACCTTTCAACAGGGACTGAATTTACCTTTAAGAAGAGTGCAGATCAAATTACGAATCAGAAAGCAAGTTTCATTGAAGAGCAAGAAAGGGGACAGTGTTTCCCAGGAGAAGATGAAAAGAAAAGGATTTCTTTTCTTGTTGGAAGACTTGACAAAACAGCAACTTGATATCAAACGTTCAATGCTAATTAACAAATGCTCAGTAGAAAGCGTCCATCTGATTCCTTCTCTCTCACTGAGGCCACAGAGCAAATGGCAGGTGGGAACCACACAGGGCCCTTTCTCTAGCTTAGGGAAGCTACACAATGTTGATGTGCTTGGGGAAGTATTGGACAGGAGTCAAAATTCTGAATGCTTGTTGCACTGAATTACTGTGTAAACTTGGAAAAGTCACTTAACCTCTCCAAGCTTCAACTTCCTTATCTGTAAAAATAAACAACATTGCAGTTAACTCGTGACTTAACCATAATTGACATAGAATCCCCTCTCCCTCCCTGGGCAGTTCTGTAAGCCTGGAGCTCCTCTGTTTTAGGGCCATTGTCCACAGTGTCAAGACCCTTGTGTTTATCTGAAGTTTCAAAACAATTCAGTACAATGTTTTCAATGAAAGTGGACATTATTAATATTATATTACACTAATATTAATATTCAACTATGTCTATATTATATACAACTCAGTGTGTGTGTTCAGTTGTGTCCAACTCTTTGCAACCCCCATGGACTGTAGCCTGCCAGGCTCCTCTGTCCATGGAATTTTCCAGGCAAGAATAATGGAGTGGGTTTCCTTTTCCTACTCCAGGAAATTGCCCCCAACCCAAGAATTAAACCCGTGTCTCTTGCCTCTCCTGCATTGGCAGATGGATTCTTTACCACTTGCGCCACCTGGAAAGCCTAATATTAATATTACATTATACTAACATAATATTACAGCTCTCATCCCAAAAGACTTCCTACTCTTAACATATGCCAATGATATTAGCCTCAGAAATGAATAAAATTGCTAATTCCCTGGCAGTTCAGTAGTTAGGATGCCACACATATGCTACCAAGGACCTGGATTCAGGGAACTAAGATCCTGAGTAAGCCGTACAGCTTGGCCAAAAATAAATAAATAAAAAGAAATTAATAGGCAACATGAAAACAGACCTAATTTGAATATATATGCATTTTAGCTTATTTTGGTTTTTTTGCCACTGAAATATAAGTTCTTTAATTCACAATATTTGGGACTCCTCCTAAAATTTGAAGTCGTTTATATACATATTATTTTATCCCCACTATTTTTCTCTGATGAAGCCAGCATAGTTACAGTATTACCACTTGACAAAAAAAGAAATGGCAGTGTAGTCATGGTATGACCGCCCACCACGCCTCAATTTACCAGCCAGGCAAGAACGGAACTGGGATTAGAACAAGGTGGATTTACTGATGCCCAGGCAAACCACAGAACTAAGGACTTGTTGTCACCGTCTGTAAGTAAGATAAGCTCTTTTAAGGAAGTGGGAAAGCCATCAAGGCTCATTTCAAGGTAGGAAGGGAATGCAGAGTACCTGGTCCAGGAGGCATCTTACCCCCTTAATCCTCTCTCTGAATAGGAGGCCACCTCTGTGCGGTGAGCAGGTGTTAAATCATTTCTAGGCATTCAACCCAGCCTGGGGCTAAAAAGGGGCTTTAGGCCTCGAGAGGCTGCCTGGTAGCTCCCTCCTACTGCATTTTCCCCATTGTTTCGGGAGGAGTTCCCTTCCCCCCAGGTTAGAGCTAGGTGGGCCGCTGCAGGCTAGCATCTCCCCCAAACCGCACGTCCTTGATAGTGTCTGCGTTGCCAGAGAAGGACAACGGAAGAAGGGTAGAGAAGAGGAAACTAAATAGGAGATGGCTCCTTAAATAAGCATGAACTCTATAAATGAGGTGTGGGCCGGGTGATCCGTGGAGTAACTTGCATTCAGCTATTATTCGGGGGGAGGAGGGGCGGGGAGTAAAGGGGCTTAGTGTTCCGCAGAGAAGAGTGCTGAATCGACTTCCTTGGAAATTCTACCTCGCAGCCTCCCACCCTGAGACGCTTCTTTTGTGGAGGGGGCGTGGGGGTAGGGTGGGAATGGAGGTGAAGAAAACAGGACGAAACTTGGGGCATTTGAAGGGGCGGTGTGAATATGTGTAGATAAGGGGTGGATTTTCTGGGACCCCCCCCCCTCCCTCTCTGGCCCTCAGACCACCCTCTCTGGAGTCCACGTTTTCCAGGCTCAGCAGATCCTTTATCCGAAGGAAAATAAGAGAAGCCTATCTCTCTGCTCTATTGAGCAAGGCTGTGTTTCCTACTGTGCCCCCTTGAGCTTGCTGGGGAGGTGGGCGGACCGGTCTGGGCAAAGACATCTGGAGATGGGGGGAGCTAGCAGAGGGCCAGGATAGGTGGACCCCCACCAGGCCCCACAGCACCTGTCACGGAGCCTACCGGAAACCCTCCTGTGCTCTGGGCTCCCGCCCCCATACACCCATCCCCCGCCCCCCTCTCTACTCCCCAGCTCCCGCCTCCCTCCCCAGCAGCTCCTCCCCACAGACTCCCCTCCCCAGCAGCTCCTCCCCCATCTCCCCTCTCCCAGCTTTCGGGCTCCAGCTCCTCCCCTCCTGCGCGTCTCCTCGCTCCCCTCCCCCTCCTCCGCTGCGCCCTGCCCCCGCCGCCGATCTCCATCTCTGCAGTCTGGGCCGCTGGGTGCAGAGGCTGCTGCAGCCCGGGCGGCCACTGCCGCCTCCCCCAATCCGGATACCCATTGTCTCCCACTCCACCCGGCCCTGCACCTCCCGCTCAACCATGGCGCACGAAGCCGGGAGGAGCTCTCGTCTCGGGGGGCCCTGCGGGGAGCCGGCGGAGCTTGGAGGTGCGGTAGGGCCCGGCAGGGGTAGGGGAGGAGGGGGCGCGCGGGGCGAGGGGGGAAGGACTTTCGGTGGACGAGAGAAAACGCACGATTCTCTGCCCAGGACCCGGTCCTCCCAGCTAGTCCTTCCGCCCGCCGGTGACCCGAGGTGCGGGGGAATGGAAGGGGGACAGTAGCTTGTGCATGCCCGCTCCTCTCCTTCCTGGCCCCCAGTGCTGGCGTGTCGTGTCCAGGCGGGTCAGCCCTGAGCTCTAGCCTTCTGCACGGCCGGATGGTGAGCTCATCTCCCCACCCCCACTAGCGGTTACTGGGCTCGTTGTTAATTACAGCCTGTGTATACCCATCCCAACCGCGCCACCCACGGTCTCTCCTTGTGTTCTCCCCCAGGTGATGTGAGCGAGGACGACCACCCCCAAGTCTGTGCCAAGTGCTGCGCACAGTTCACTGACCCAACTGAATTCCTCGCCCACCAGAATGCATGTTCTACTGATCCCCCTGTAATGGTGATAATTGGAGGCCAGGAGAACCCCAACAACTCTTCGACCTCTTGCGAACCCCGGCCTGAGGGCCGCAGCAGTCCGCAGGTCATGGAAGCCGAGCAAAGCAACCCCTCGGACTGCGCGTCCTCTGTACCCACAGATCCCACCTGGGGCCCAGAGCGGAGGGGAGAGGAGTCTTCCGGGCACTTCCTCATTGCTGCCACAGGTACAGCAGCTGGGGGAGGGGGGGGCCTGATCTTGGCCAGCCCCAAGCTGGGAGCAACTCCATTACCGCCGGAGTCCACCCCTGCACCCCCCCCTCCTCCGCCTCCTCCTCCTCCCCCCGCAGGGGTAGGCAGTGGCCACTTGAACATCCCTCTGATCTTGGAAGAACTCCGGGTGCTGCAGCAGCGCCAGATTCATCAGATGCAGATGACGGAGCAAATCTGCCGGCAGGTGCTGCTGCTTGGCTCCTTAGGTCAGACAGTGGGCACCCCTTCCAGTCCCTCAGAGCTACCTGGGACAGGGACTGCCTCCTCCACCAAGCCCCTGCTTCCCCTCTTCAGCCCCATCAAGCCTGTCCAAACTGGCAAGACACTGGCACCTTCCTCCACCTCCTCCTCAGGGGCAGAAGCACCCAAGCAGGCTTTCTTCCACCTTTACCACCCCCTGGGATCACAGCACCCTTTTTCTGCTGGTGCGGGTGGGCGAAGCCACAAACCCACCCCTGCCGCCACCCCGGCCCTGTCGGGCAACACAGATCAGCTGATCGCCTCGCCTCACCTGGCATTCCCAGGCACCACGGGACTCCTGGCAGCACAGTGTCTTGGGGCAGCCCGGGGTCTCGAGGCTGCTGCCTCCCCGGGGCTCCTGAAGCCAAAGAATGGAGGTGGAGAGTTGAGTTATGGGGAAGTGATGGGCCCCTTGGAGAAGCCCGGTGGGAGGCACAAATGCCGCTTCTGCGCCAAAGTATTTGGTAGTGACAGTGCCCTGCAGATCCACCTGCGTTCCCACACAGGCGAGAGACCCTATAAGTGTAATGTGTGTGGCAACCGCTTTACCACGCGAGGCAACCTCAAAGTGCATTTCCACCGGCATCGGGAGAAGTACCCACATGTGCAGATGAACCCTCACCCCGTGCCAGAGCACCTAGACTATGTTATCACCAGCAGCGGCCTGCCCTATGGTATGTCGGTGCCGCCAGAGAAGGCCGAGGAGGAGGCAGCTGTGCCGGGCGGAGGTGTGGAACGCAAGCCTCTGGTGGCCTCCACCGCCGCCCTCAGTGCCACAGAGAGCCTCACGCTGCTCTCCACCGGCGCAGGCACCACTACGGCCCCTGCGCTTCCCGCTTTCAATAAGTTCGTGCTCATGAAAGCGGTAGAGCCAAAGAATAAAGCAGATGAAAACACCCCGCCGGGGAGTGAGGGCTCAGCCATGGCCGGGGTGGCAGAAAGTGGCGCAGCAACCCGCATGCAGCTAAGTAAGCTGGTGACATCGCTACCCAGCTGGGCCCTGCTTACCAACCACTTGAAGTCCACTGGTAGCTTTCCCTTCCCTTATGTGCTGGAGCCCTTGGGGGCTTCGCCCTCTGAGACCTCCAAGCTGCAGCAGCTGGTAGAAAAGATTGACCGTCAAGGAGCTGTGGCAGTGGCCTCTACTGCCTCGGGTGCCCCCACCACCTCTGCCCCTGCAGCTTCATCATCAGCCTCATCTGGACCCAACCAGTGCGTCATCTGTCTCCGGGTGCTGAGCTGTCCTCGGGCACTGCGCCTGCATTATGGCCAGCATGGAGGTGAGCGGCCCTTCAAATGCAAAGTGTGTGGCAGAGCTTTCTCTACCCGGGGCAATCTGCGTGCACATTTCGTGGGCCATAAGGCTAGTCCAGCTGCCCAGGCCCAGAACTCCTGCCCCATTTGCCAGAAGAAGTTCACCAATGCTGTTACTCTGCAGCAGCATGTTCGGATGCACCTGGGGGGCCAGATCCCCAATGGTGGCACTGCACTCTCTGAAGCAGGGGGAGCTGCCCAGGAGAATGGCTCTGAGCAATCGACAGTCTCCGGAGCGGGGGGCTTCCCCCAGCAGCCATCCCAGCAGCCATCCCCAGAGGAGGAGTTGTCTGAAGAAGAGGAAGAGGACGAAGAAGAGGAAGAAGATGTGACCGATGAAGATTCCCTGGCCGGAAGAGGCTCTGAAAGTGGAGGTGAGAAGGCGATATCTGTGCGAGGTGATTCAGAAGAGGCCTCTGGCACGGAGGAGGAAGTGGGGACTGTGGCGGCAGTGGCCACAGCCGGGAAGGAGATGGACGCTAATGAGAAGACCATTCAACAGCCTTGTCTGCTGCCACCACCACCGCCTGACAGCCTGGACCAGACGCAGCCAATGGAGCAGGGAGGCAGTGATGCTGCCGGAGGCTCGGAAGAGGGGGGAAAACCGGAGAGGAGCTCCAGCCCAGGGTCAGCGCTGGCCCTTGAAGGGGAAGGCGGCGGCACCCCCTTGGTGGAGGAGCTGAGCCTGCAGGAAGTGATGAGAAAGGAGCCCGGGGAAAGCAGTGGCCGAAAGGCCTGTGAGGTGTGCGGCCAGACCTTTCCCACCCAGGCAGCTCTGGAGGAGCATCAGAAAACCCACCCCAAGGAGGGGCTGCTCTTCACTTGTGTTTTCTGCAGGCAGGGCTTTCTCGAGCGGGCTACCCTCAAGAAGCACATGCTGCTGGCCCACCACCAGGTACAGCCCTTTGCCCCCCACGGCCCTCAGAATATTGCTGCTCTTTCCTTGGTCCCAGGCTGCGCACCCTCTATCACTTCCCCAGGGCTCTCTCCCTTTCCCCGAAAAGATGACCCCACCATCCCATGAGCCAGTTTTTCTGTACCTGCTGCCCCTTGACCCAAGGAGCAGGAAGTGAGAGCTCTGTAGAAGGACCTCCCAGATCTATGAGCCTTTACTTGTCTGTTTCTCTGAGTTCTTAGATGTCCCTAATGACTTTTCTCTAATCCCCGAGTTTCGAAATCGCTGTGCTCACGGCAGTTGCCCCCTGAGAAACTTTTCTTCCCTCTTCATTCATTGTACCTGAGGAAAATAGATTCACTACAGCTTTTACATTCCCAAGAAGAACCCTTTCCAGCTTCCCTGAGAATGACCCTTCTTCCCTTTCCTCTCCCTTCCCTTTGGCAGGTGCACCTGAGCACCCACATATGGAATTACAGTCCACCCCGAAGGGGGCAGCATCTGTCCCTGGAGGGCCTAGGGCCACTCCTCTCTGGTTACCAGGTCAACCTTCATGACTTCTTGTCCCAGGGCATTCCTTCCCAGCTGGTGAGGGTGGGCCCACTGTCTCTTTGGAACCAGGACACAACCTTCCTGTCAAGTGACCTGCCTGCCAAGCCCCAGACTTCCAGTTCCATCTCCATCTCCATCTCCACCACCCCTTCAGGCCCTGCACCACCAGTGCTGTTTGGCCCAGGAACTGAGGCTAGGAAGTTGCCTCCAGCAGTGGGATCCAGAGAAACCAAGAAGAGAGCTCCCCTTTTCCTCTTTTGGCCTCTTGCATCCAAGACAGTGCCTGGGAAGCCCATCATAGAAGAGAAGTAGCAGATTGTACATTCCTTCTCCTTCCGTGTGCCAACAATGAAAATGCAACAATATCTGTCTCTCGTGGCCCAGCCCCAAGGGGTAGGGAGAAATGAAAGGCACAGGACACTCTTCCTGCTAGTAAGGCACTTGTGTCTTAGTCACATTAAGGCAAAGGTGTTGGCTGGTTAATATGCCAAGATATTTTGAGCTTCTCATATCCTTCATCTTTGCCTCTCACAGTTAGGAAACAAGTGGATTTCTTGCTGAGAGGTCTCCCATGGGATGGCTGTTGGGGAGAAGGAAATATGAAGTTCATATCTTTTGCAAGCATTGTTGATGAGGGTAGTTGAAGGACTAATGGAGAGTTGAGTGTTGTAAAGCATAAGGCTTGCTGCAAACCTATATGATTAATAAAGGGGCAAGATGTAAAGGAGGAGACCTCAAATTCTTAATTGGATGGGTCGATGGGTCTCATGAATGTTCTTTTGGACTCATGGTGACTTTTGTGTGCCACAGTGCACCATGGATCAGGGGGGTTTGCTAGCACTAGTGTGCTTCTAGTTTTAGATAACTCCCTCCTTTATTCCCTAGCCCCTTGTATTTTCCTTGTCTTCCTCTCTCAAGGTCCACTTCCTCCCCGTTTTGCCTGTCCATGGACCTGGGTTTGTGTCTTTGCCACTGTCTGGTTCAGAGTCCCAGACTTTGGGAGAGGAGCCCCAGGTGCTGTCCTCCCTGCCTCTCTGTCTTGTAATGAGATGTAGTATTTACTCTTAACATAGGATCATCTGGAACAGGAGTTCTGAGGAGGAGGGGGTGAAGGTTCTGCTATTTACTGACTTGAGTGATGGCTCCTCCTCCAAAGGTGTAGGCTCCAGAGTTTCCTAACATAGTCAAATGTGAAGAGCAGACAAGGGAGATACTAGTGTCTTTCCCTTTTCATTAAAGGTGTTTTAACCAAATATTTGTGTGTTTCTCCTTATTTCATGACTAAATAGCCAGCTGGGGTGTGATATGGGCATTCCCTAACATTGAGATTCCCTTACCACCTACCTCTCCTGCCAAAGCTGAACATATGGTGGTGAAGTATTTAATTTGCTCAGCCTTGTCCTAAAACAACCTCCACTGAATGTAATTTCCTTGTTGAAATGGTGTTTGTGTTCTCAAAAAGTAGAGGATTTGCTCACTGTTTACAGCCATTGTCCAGGTTTTCTCTTTGCCTAGATGCTTCCACCACCAGACTTTTGCATTTTGTTTTGTTTGGAGTTTGAATGCTGTCTATCAGTCTTTCCTGAAACCTAAGTCAGACTAGCTGACATCAGTTAATCTGCAGAACGAAGGTGAATTCATCTTTATGATCCTTGGTCTAATGTTATAAACAACTTAAAAAAATAATTCAACCCTAATAATTTCTACCAACAAGGTAATATAAAGGAGAATTTTTAGCAGAGGAAGTACATTGGGGATGGGTGTGTGTGTGTGTGTGTGTGTATTTTTTTTGTTTTGTTTTGTTTTGTTTTGTCTCCACAACATGGTAAGGTTCAGATTTGACTCTTAGACCCTGCTTCCCTAAAGAAAACATTCTCTGGAAATTTTTTTTTTTTTTTAATTTTTGCTTTTGTAAGATTGTATCACTGAAACTATCTGCTAAAGGGATAGGACTGGTAAAATGATTTGCCTGAAGACATGTAGCCAATCAGAAGTGGGTGAAGAACCCAGGTCAGCAGAAACTAGTTTCACTGCTACTACCTTCAGGGGTGGTACTTGCTTCCGGTTCTATCACTGGACTTCTAAAGTGAGGCTGGCTGGAAGACTGAAGGGAAGAGGTGAGTAAATCTGTTCGTGAACGGAGGTTTGGTTACAATTGCCTCCTGGAGTGGTACCCATTCCCCTTTAAAGGTACTAGTGAATAGGACAGAACAATCTTGTGAAACAGGCTGGGGGAGAAACAGCTCCTGTCTCTTTAATTCCCTACCAAAGCTTTATAAATCTGTTTTTCCTTTCAGCCTATGGAAGGAGGTGGGTCACCAATCCTTCTATTCCTTTTACCTCCCCAACCCCATTGGACATAGATAATGCCATTTAACTAATTAAACTAGACTTGCCCTCTCTTTAGATGCCAGTTCCCATTATGATAACAGCTGTCAGTGAGGCTTCTACTAATGGATACTTCCTTGGGCAGGTCGGCCCTGAGCCTGACTCCCCATCGTCCTCCTCCATAGCTCTACTTTATTTTCCCTTCTATCTACTTTTCATTCTTTTCCTCCCCTGCTTTTTCTTCTTTCGTTGACTTCTGACAGCTTTTATTTCTTTTCTATCTTCTTATTCTCTTAGAGCCTCCTCAAAGCCCACTCCAATCCCCATCCTCAACCCTACCCTTTCTTACTCTCAATTCTCATTTGGTCATTTCTTTGGAAAGTGAATTAACTCTAACCTGCTGCAGTGAATATGTAAATAAATGCAGCTTGCAAAACACTTTACCTGAAATATGCATCATGGATTCAGTTCAAACTAGATGGATAAACAGATGACTATTATAAGAAGCAAGAGACAGTTTCTTAGCTCATTCATTCAGTTCAATTTTGAGGATTTCAGAGACCTCAAGTTTCAGAGACCAAGTGCTGGGTAGGTACAAAGGTAAAGAAGACATACTTCTGCCTTGAAGGGAGCCCAGTCAAAGAAGAGGAAAAACATATTTTTATATGGTGGTAGTAAATACTGTGCTAAGACACAGTGGCCTGTGGGATTCCAGAAAGGGAAATGACTAACTGATGATACAAAGATAGAGAAAGGGGAGGGGACATACAGCTTTCATAATAACCATGCTGAAATAATTAACCGAATCCATACAACAACCTATGGACAAATGGAGTTACCATGTAAAAACCTATATAAGGTACATCAAATCCCCTTTGGCAGAAACACGTATGTGCTACTTCCAAGATGTCCCTTCAAGAAAGAACTGGCTACCTACCTCCGAGAAACCTGGTTAGAGAATTCCACGGCAGTCCACTGGTTAGAACTCTGTGCTCTCACTGCCAAGGGTCAGGTTTGATATCTGGTTGAAGGAACTAAAATCCCACAAGCTTCACAGAGTGATAAAAAAAAGAAGCCTGGACAGCCTCCAGTTGTCCTCTTGTCCAGCCCCTGGTCAAAGACTAAGCAAGGTGGTGGGTGGTATAGAGCTTAGCCATTGCCAGGGAACATGGGACTAATGAACAGTTCTTACCATGGAACTCCCCAGTGGCCTGGCAGCAACTATCACAGCTGCAGCACTGATAGCTTTGGACAGCTCTCCCAACCCAATCCCACTTTCTTCATCCCTCCTCCCCACTTCTTTTTTCTTTTTTTTTTTTTAACAATTGTTACTTCGCAATAAAACTTTTGCACTCCTGACTTTGCCTCAGCATCAGCTTCTCCCAGATTTCAACCTGTGTTACCCCTCAAAAAGGTCTCAATTCTATTGGGCACATTTTCATCTCTCACAATTTCTACTAGGATTCTGGTTTACTGTCCCTGGAACTTCTTAGTAAACATCTATCTCCTGATTCCCAGAAAAGACTTCACTCACATGACTCTCAGACCCAACTTTGACTTCCCTTTACATTTCCTTTCTTAATGTTTAACAACAGATTTACTAACCCCAATGGACATTATGCTTTTGATTATATAATTTTAAAGTCTGAGTAAGGACAAAACCGAAGAAAGAAAACATTTGACCAAAGATCCAGTTAAGAAGTGTAGTATTTGGTCAATACTGTGGATGATGTTTCAGTAACCCATTGCTATGTAACAAACCATCCAAAACTTAGGGTCTTACAAATAATTATGTATTAGCTTGTGAGTCCATGGGTCTGAACAGGCTTCAGCTAGGAAGGCTTGTCTGTGTTCCAGGTGATCAAGGCTGAGCTCACATAGCAGCTTCAATTTAGGTTGGAGGATCCAAGATGGCCTCACTCACGTCTGGCCCCTCAGCTGAATGACTGCAATGCTGGAACCTCTCTCCTTAGAGTCGTTCATTCTCCAGGATCTCTTTTTGACGTCTTTCAGCCTCTAGAATTTCTCTCTCTTTCCCCCTCTCTTCTCCCTTTCCCTCTCCCTCACTCTCTCTTCAAGTGGTCTAACTATTAGGATAAATGGACTTCCATAAAGGCCTGGGTCTCTAAGATGACAAAAGCAGAAGCTGCAAGGCTTCTTAAGGCCTAGAATCTGAAACTCAAAGAATATCATCTCTGCCACTTTCTCTTGGCCAAAGCTAGTCAGAAGGCCAGTTCAGATTCAAGAGGAGAGGAAACAAGCTTTACCTCATTGGGAAGAGTGACAGAGTCACAATGCATAAGGGTATGTGGGATAGGAGCCATTACTGTTGTGGCTAACTCTGAACACTCTACCAGAGCAGATTAGGAGATTACCAGAAAGTTAGGAGATGTAGCACACACAGCAATCATCTGCTCACAACTAGGCTTTCAGTTGTTGGACTAGAAGAGGTCTGGGTGAGAGTCAGTCCTCTCTGCACTGCTCACAGTTGTATGCAGACTGGCTAAGAGGGGGCCCAGTAAGAAAGCAGTGGCTTTCTTTTGAGCTGAAAACTGGTCCTGAGGCCTCTAGAAGAAAATCCCTCTATAAGCAGGTCATGCTAAGTGGTCCTCTTGTGCTCCCAAAATTTGCCTGGTTTATTATTGTAATAGTTTAAAAAGTGAATGTTAAAGAAAAGACTTCTGGGAGCTTCCCTTAATTTGGCCGACTTTTAGAAGTACCTGTACTGCCACTTTGGCTTTCTCTGTAGGTGAGAGGAGGCAATTCAGGTCATGGGTATCCTGAATTCTACCAGAGCCTGAATCTCTTCCACTAGACATATTCTTCCTTTCTTAGACAAAAAATGCTTATAAGTTTAAGGGATGACCTGTGGAAATCTGTCTTTGAGATGAATCAACCTTCTTTAACTTCTGCAAAGCTATATCCAATACTGTCTTTCTCCTCCAGGACTATTTCATTTTACTGCTATATAGTTACTATATATT